GCTCACAGGAATAAAGGCTTGGATTCATCACCTTATAGTAAAGCAAACTACCAGAGCAGCTCCTTCTTGGAGCTGTCCTCAGCAGAATTATTTTGGCCTCCCCCACTAATTCTTTAACATCCTATCTCTTTTATTCATTATTTATTTACTGGTTTCTTTCTGCCTTTTTCTTATTTTTAAAATTTACCTTTAAAATAAACTTTACAAAATTTTTTAATTTGGACAAATTATTACTTTTTTTAGTAAAATAAAATACATTATTTTAAAATGGAAACTCCCTTTTTAATAGAATTTCTTCAGTATTGTAAATTCTAAAGAGAAGTCTCACCTAAGTATACAATATTTTAACTGTTAAATAATCTTTGTTTAAACCCAGAACATCTGGTGGCCTCTGTTAATATTTCTCATTTCTTTAGTTGTCATTAAATAATTCAAAGCATGTGAATTAACTTGCAGAAAAATAACGTGTCCTTACGAAAAGAAATTGTGGGGGCTAGCTCCAGGAAGTCTAGGTCCATGAAGATGTTCTAGGGAGGAAGAAATGGAGAAATACTGTATGCTTTAAAGAGGAAGGCCCCACTCTATCCATGGGTTTCTTTGCCAATTTTCTCATTATACCCCCCTTTTCTCCTATAAAAGCCCTTCAAGACCCTGAGCTCTCTTAAGACAGAGATTTGAGATTAAAAGAAAGAAGAGGCCAACTTTGAATAAATCTTGTTCTTCACTAACTCCTGTCTCAAATTTTTGGTCACTTTGAGTAGCAGGTAGCACAGACATTTGAATCTGGTAACATCTTGCATAACTATACTTGTACTAGTCAGCTTTCTGTCACTGTGACAAAATACCTGGAAAAAACAACTTAAAAAATAAAAGATTTATTTTGGTTCACAGTTTCAGAGTTTTCAGCCCACGACTGGTGGGTTCCATTGTTATGGGCCTGCAGTGAGGCAGAAGATCATGACAGAAGGGCATAGTGGGTCAAAGATGGCCACCTCATGGCAGTCAGGTAGCAGAGAGAGAAGAAAAAGAACTAGAGAGGAAGAGGCCAGTGATTGAGCCCTCAAGGTCAGGCCTTCTTCAACTTGGCCCCATCTCCTGAATCCATCACCTCCCAATAATGCCATCAAATTATGATCTCATCAATGATTAATCTACTTGATGAAGTTAAGCATCCTTGTGTAATCACTTCCCCAAAATCCTCAGTTGGTAATCAAGCCTTTACCACATGAGTTTTGGTGGGCATTTCACATCAAAATTATAGGAGCTAGGCTGTGGCTCAGTGGTAGAGCACTTGCCTGGCAAGCTCGAGATCCTGGGTTCAATTCCCTAGCACCAGGAAAAAAATAAAAAATAAACATATTTAAAAATCAAGTTTCAAATTCAAACCCTGAACAATACTATAATGTTATAATAAAGAAATTGGCATTAATCGATATCACTGAACTTGTTCAGAGTTTATTAGTTTTTCATGTACTTATTTGTGTGTTTAGTTGTGTTAATTTTATCACATATACATATACAGACTAGTAAAGAGATAAGAACTTTGTACTGCCTTTGATAGTTACAGCCACCTGCCTCATTTCACCCCGACAACTGCTTTTTCTGCATCATTCTAATTTTGTCATTTTGAAGGTGAGACACGAACTTAATCTTATAACATATAACCTTTTGAGACTAGCTTTATTCATTCAAAAATATTTCCATGAGATCCATCCAAATTACACTATGCTTCAGTAGTCCATTCCTTTTCATTGCTGAGTAATATTTCATAATATATGAATGAACAATAGCTTTTTGTTTAAACAGTTACCTCTTGGAGGACTCTGGTAGATTTGGGCTTTTATGAATATAGCCACTATAAAAAGTAAATGTTTGTGTATGAAGATTGTTTTCCTTGCTCTGGAATAAATGCACAAGAGTATAACTTCTGGATGTGTGGTGCTATAGTTTCGGTCTTGAATGTCCTCCAAAGGCCAATGTTCTGAAGGCTGGGTCCAACCTGTTACGCTAGTGGGAGGTGTGGAACCTTTAAGAAGTGAGAGCTAGTGGAAGGAAGTTTTCAATAGAGGTCTCTCTCTTCCCCCCCTTCCCTCCCTCTCTCCCCCTCTCTCTCCTCCTCCTTCTCTTCTTCCAGACAACATGAAGTGAATAGCTTTACTCTACCCCAAACTTTGCTCTACCACACATTCTGCCAAAAGGTAAATCTCTGAAACTTTGAGCCAAAATAAAGCTTTTCCCTTTTTAAGTTGATTTATCTCAGACAGTTTTCTCAGCTGTGGAAAGGTAACTAACAATATTGTTAACACATACTTAGTTTTGTAAAAAACTGCCAAATTTAACCTAAATGATTATACCATTTTACATTTCCAACAGCAAAATGTTTGATCCAATTTGTCTGATAGCATTTAGTGTTTTGTTTTGTTTTGTTTTTTGGTACCAGGGATCAAACTCGGGTCCCTGTGCTTGTGCAGCAGGCGGCAAAACCACTGAGCTAAATCCCCGGCCCTTAGTGTTCTTATTAAAGTTTTACATTAATGTTTAATGGACACAAAAAACAAAAATTGTACATATTAATAAGGAACCAATGATTCTTCAATGCTGGTATACATTGTATAATACTCAAATTAGGTTAAATATATCTGTCTTCTCAAACTATTATTTCTTTATAGTAAAACATTAAAAATCTTTTCCCATAGATTTCTGAAATATATTGAATATTATCATTATCTATAATCACCATACTGTGACTACCTAATATAACATAACTTAGAACCATTGATCAACTTTTCCCCCTTCCTCTCTCCCTAGCACTGGTAAGTACCAGTCTACTCTCAACTTCTCTAAGATCTTTTTTTAGATTTTAGATATGAATGAGATCCTATGGTACTTGTTTTTCTGAGTCTGGCTTATCTTACTTAACATAATGAGCTCCATTTCCATTGATGTTGTCACAAATGACAGGATCTCATTCTTTTTATGGCTGAATAGTATTCCACTGTGTATAAGCACCACATTTCTTTATTTATTCATCAACTAATGGATACTTAATTGTTTCTATTTTTTGGCTATTGTGAATAGTGCTGTAGTAACATAAGAGAGCAGATATCTCTTTACCATATCAATTTATTTCCTCTGGATATATCCCCAGTAATGATACTTCTGGATCATATGGTAGTTCTGTTTTATTTTTATTAGTGGGAGGGGTTAAACACAGAGCCTTGTGCGTGCTAAACACACTTGCTCTACCATTGAGCTACTCTCCCAGCTCTATATAATTTTGTTTCACAATACTGGAGATCAAACTCAGAGCATGTACTCTCAATTCCCCTATTTTTAAAATTTTAGGAGTCTCCATCCTTCTCTTTATAACAGCTGTACTAATTTATATTACTACCACTGTGCAAGAGTTCTCCTTTCTCTGCATCCTTAACAGCACTTTTTATCTTTTGTCTTTTTGAAAATAGTCATCCTTACTGGAGTGAGGTGATAGTTCACTGTGGTTTTGATTTGTATTTCCCTAATATTAGTGACACTCAACATTTTTTTCATATATCCATGGGTCACTTGTATGTATTCTTTTGAGAAATCTCTATTTGGGTATATTACAGTAGACCCTTGACTCATGAGCTCAGTTCGTTCCCAAAGGCTGGTTGTAACTCAGGTTGGTCAATTGATGGCTCAGGCTCCTCTACACAGCCTTCACAGTCTCCTGTGTACAGGCAGATCTCAGTGTTTTCAGAGAGGGATTGGCCCAGGATTTCTCAATTAACCCCATACAGAGAAGGATGTTATAATGTTCCTTTCAGAACTCTTTTAAGGGTTAAATCTGTATCTGAGGCTATCTGGAAGCACAAGTGGACACCGTTCAGGTCAGAACTCAAGACTTTGGTTGTACGTTTAAAATTCTGGTCATAACCCAAATTGTTCATATCACTGACATAGAAGTACCTCTTTCTGTTTCTGTTTTCAATTCTTCTGAGTATACATCAAGGAATAGAATTGCTAGTTCATACAGTACTTCTATGTTAAACTTTTTGAGGAGGCACCAAACTTTTTCACAGTAGCTGCAAAATTTTACATCACTACCAACAATGTACAGTATAAGGTTCCTAATTTCTCCACATTCTCACCTACACTTGTTATTTTCCACTTTTAAATTATATCCTTACTAGTAGAGGTAAAGTGGTATCTTATTGTGATTTTGAGTTATACTTCTTGAGTAATTAATGATATGGAGTATCTTTTCATGGTTGGTTATTTGCATATAATTCTTTGAGAAATATCTATCCAAATCCTTTGACCATTTTTATAATTGGGTTATCTTTCTGTTATTGAGTTGAAGAAGTTCTTTACATATTCTGGATACTATTGAATAAACATATGCTCCTGTCTGGAATGCTTTCCTTTCCCATATAAAATAATATTTTTCCTTCAAGGCTCAACCCAAACACACCTTGGATCATATGGATTTTTTTCTTTCATTCATAGAACAGGAATGGCCTTTTTCTCTACTGAGTTTCCCCTGCACTTATTCTTCTCTGGAAGGCTCTTGTGACAAATGGCCTTATTCTTGGTTATATTACCTGTAAACATACCACATCTCCTTCACTAGCTAGAAACATCTCTTTTGGCATGACTATATCTTATTCAACTGCATCTTTTAAGCACTCAGCAGAAAGCCTAGCATACAATAGGTATCTAGAGAATATGTGCTAAATAAACTGCTAAGGCAATAAAAAGGGCTAAGCTGTAAGTATGGTTTGCAATGGGGACATATTTGAATTATGTGTGGAAACTACACAGAGTATGTCTGGCATGTGAATCCATGGTTGATACTGTAAAGGGAAAGGTATGGCTGGTAAAGGAGAGGTGCCATGTGCTCCTGTGCCACATGAACACAGGAGTAGCTCGCCCTCTCTATAGCTTGGCCCGTGCTGGTTTTCTTCCATGGCACCAGACACATCTCCTCCTACCCTCCACCCCAGTTCCTACTTTCCTACCTTATATGTACATCAGTCTCCAGACCAGAGGCTCCTTCTTCAACAGCTTTCTCAAAGGCCATCATGGTATTTTCTGGCCCTGCCTGTGGAAGAAAAGCAGATCAGACCCCTATGCCTCAGTCTCTCCTCCCAATATCCCTTTTAGAATAAAGATGGAATCTAGGAATGAAAGCACTTTGGGAAGCAGGGCCTGGTTCCTTTCATTCTCCTTTCAAAGAGGCTACCTGTATTCTCCTCTGTCTGATCTGTCATTGGATGAAGTAGAGAGAAATAGACTGAGAGTAAGGAGACATGGGTTTAAGTCTAACCCCTAAAATTAACTCCTTATTCTTGTCATATCAAGACAAGCCCATGTTCTTTCCAGGGGCTCCTATGTTACTGAGGTTTCTTTCTCTCACCCACGTGCCCGCCCCATTCTCATTCAGGTTCATCATACTCGGACCTACCATGGGTGAACCTCTGTGTGCAAAGAAGGCTGGCTTAGGTCCCAACTCTTCCTTCTCTTGAATGCAGGGAGAATAAATCCCCAGTGGCATCGCATAGAGACATATGAGAATAAGAAAAAAGGGCAATCCAACAGCCAATTGTAGAGCTAAAAAGTTGGAAGGAGAAGAAAGTGAAAGAAAAGGAAAAGAGGGATGGAAAACCATTATCGTGCAACTAACTACCTTAAACCAGTAGTCTGAGTAAATATCCTGTCCACAGGGTTCACTGACTCTCGATTGGCTGATTTATTTTCTATTTCTGTCACATCCCTCCTTACTTTCAGGCCCTTGGATATAAATGTATAGGACTGTCCAAATATAAAACACTACTATTAAGGTAACATTACTAAACTGAAAAATGATGGAGAAGAGAATAGAACAGAGAATGGGCAGGGAAGGAAGAAGAGGGAATGTTAAGAAGTCGATTCCCAAGAGGAACTTGGCTACTTCTGAGAAAATCCTAAAGCTGTAAAGATCATGTGAAAATGCCCCTGTATTCAGGTCATGCAGGACAGAGGAAAGGGCATTAAACAACAGAGATTTGGGGGGCCAGGGATTTAGCTCAGTGGTTCCGCCGCCTGCCTTGCAAGCAAAAGGTCCCAAGTTCGATCCCCAGTACCAAAAAAAAAAAAAAAAAAAGGAATGGAAAAACAAATACATTATAAACAACAGAGATTTGGGTTTTGAAGCCAGGCCTTATCATTTCCTAATTGTGTGAACAAGGACATGAACCTTAACCACTCTGGTCTTTACTGTCTTCTATAAAATAGGGCTGTCTTGCTGCAAACATCAACCTTACAGAGTTTTTATAACAGCATTGATTCATAATAATTATTCATAAACATTAGTTATTTGCTTCCCCTTTTCCCTCCCTTCCCTTGTCTCTCTCCCCTCCTCTCACTGTGCATAGGTACACACACATTCATATACAGAGCCTGTCCATAATCTCTGGTATTATAGGTCATTTCCCAACACTTACTATTTTAGAATTTTGAGGATTTTACCCATTTGTACATTTTTAAGTTACCACCTATGGTTCCATGATTTTCAAATCTAGGTCTCCAGCTCTAACCTCTTAACCTTGTGAATATATTACATTTCTTGAGTCTTTCTTTCTCGTAATATGCCATTCTGTGTCTTCTTATTCTAACTAAAATTTAGAAAATGAAAAAGAAAAATAATTTATTATTATCCTCTTTAAACTCTTTCCCCAAACATATTTCCTAAAGTTTACCCTCTACACAGAAATAAATACACGAACATACAATGGCACCATATCCAACCTGCATTCTCCTTGTCTGTAACCTCCCACAAGTCATAAAGCAAACACCCTTTATTTAACAAATAGCAAAAAAAGGAAGATACAGAGAGAAAATCCTACTGGTTTCTCAGTCAGTAAGGGTGGAGAGAGAGAACTCCATTCTCAAACCAAATTAGTGTACAGATTACATGCTCTTTTGTTTCCATTACAGTAGGAAACAGTAAGAGACATTTCTATGTTTGCTGTAAGTTCCTAGGTATTACACAGCCTCACAGAGGATTGCTTTGACTTATTTAGATATGTAATCAGTAAACTTTGGACCTAGTGTTAGCTGAATTAGTAACATTTGAATGTAAACTGAAAGAACTGTGCTTGTACTCTGACCAAGAGAAATAAAGGTATCCTCTATACTCACATGTGCCCCTAGATAGACAATGGATGACAACATAGAGAAAAATCTTATTTTTCTAAAGAATCCTTAGAAGAAGGTGTTTTTGGTCATGGAAATACTGAGACCATCCACGCGTAGTAGTTAACTGAGAACAAAATGAACACACCTATCTAACAAGCTAAAGGAATTTAAAAGAGACATAGGGTTAGCTAGCTACCAAGTTTCTGTTTTTCTGTGTAGAATATGCAAGTTAAAGTCAGAGATGAAGCGATCAGGCAAGGTTCTACCCAACATGACATACTTTTTCCTTCCAAATGCACCACGTAGAAGGTCAGAGGCCAGGAAATGATAACCATCAGAATTATGCAGCTCAGGTGCACGTAAGGAGCAAAGATCTGGGACAAAGTCAAAAGTCAGGCTATATACATCAGGACAGATAGTGCCAAGAGCTATAGGATGATACCTACCTTCAGTGACAGCCCAACTACCAGCCACCTTTCATTCCAGAATTTGAATAAAATCACCATTAAGAAAATGTGCACCAGGATCATTAACACAATCAGGATCTGGGGAAACAGAAAAGATCTGATTTCCAGGAACTAGGTTTGAATCAGGACTGTCCTTAGGAATTGTATGTGTATCTTCACAATATCAGAGACCTCATCTCCTTATTCTTTTAATCTAACCATCCTGCAAATCCCCAATCAGTTGCTTGAATGGTGGACCCAGTCACTTGATTTCTTTGATCCTCAGTCTTTGCTGTATAGCACAGCTAGGAAAATTACACAATTACATGTTTTGATGTTATACCAATTTGTCATTTCCAGCCTCAGTCAGGCCCTCAGCATGGCTTGGTTATCTCTCACTCAGATTCAACAATGGCCATTACAAATCTTCACCTCTTCTTTAAGCCTTAATGATATACTCAATATAAGTAAATAATATTTTATAATTGCCTCTTTGGGGAGGGTACCAGGGATCAAACTCAGGACCTTGCGCTTGTGAAGCAGGCAGCACCTCCGAGCTAAATCCCTGGCGATTGCCTCTTTTTTTGAGAGAGGTTCTCACTAGTTGCCCAGGCTTACCTCAAACTTGCTATTCTCCTTGCTCACCCTTCCAAGTGCTGAGATTATAGGTGTGTACTTGCCTTTTTGATGTATGTTTTCCCCAACAGACTAAAAACTTCATGAAATCCAGGATAATAATTGAATTACTTATGAACATATCCTCAGTGCCTTATGGAATGTCTGACACACAGTAAGTATCCAATAAATATCTACTGAACAGATTAAAACATCTGCTCTCCAGAACACTATATACTTCGACTTTCTCAACTTCTTCTCCTAATGTTTTTCGGGAAGTCTCAGATGACACTGAAAAATACAGTGGTGACAAAAGTGTCAGCATCCTTGAAAAGCACCGTAGTGGCTGTCCTCTATGCTTGAATGAAGAAGAGATGCTGCAACTGAATTGGGCATCCTGGTTTCAAAGGAGATGATGAGATCTTGCTGTGACACAAGCCAAATAGCAGTACTAATTGACTCAGGTAACATATGCAGAGTTTCTATAGTAGCCACAATATGGGGATGATAATCAGAATGGTTCAACTCATAGGAATTCCCAGTAGTGATTAATTGCTCAGGGTGCCCCCACCACAAAATAGATGGTGTTATCAATAAGGCCTATTTGTTTACTTTTCAACCTATATTCTTCCCCTAGAAGACCTCATGGCTTCAATTTCCATCTTTCTAAATAACTCTTACATTTATATTTTCAACTTGCATTTATCATTTGTATAACAAGAAACTTAAGAATGCTACTCAGAGAATTTGACATGTTTCCAGATTTGGGAAACACAAGCATGGTATCGTAACCGTGCCTGAAAAAGGCTATAAAAAAGCAAGACACAGCCAACGATAGAGGTGCACATCCATAATCCTAGCACTCTGTGAAGCTGAGGTAAGAGAGCTACACATTTGAGCCCAGCCTGGCCAACTTAGCAAGACCCTGTCTTAAAAAAATAAAAAAAGGGCTGTGGATATAGTTCAGTGTGCTAACCCTGTGGTCAATCCCCGGAAACCCCCACCACACACACACACACACACACAGACACACACACACACACACACACACACACAGAGCAAAAGACTGTTCCTAGAGCTGCTCAAATCTACACTAGAACAAAATAAGAAAGGCTGTGTGTTGGAAATGTCCTATAGGCCCACAAATGACAGAGAAAATTTGTTCGTTCTGTGGGTACGAGATACAGACTCTTTGAGAGAAACCATGTTTGTATCATGTTTTTCTACTTCTATAAAAGAATTATTGGAAGTCTGGATTGAGATACTATGTGTTTACATTCACTTTGATACAAATTCATTTTTTAGAAATTAACTGAGTTTCTGTCTAAAAGCTCATCTAGGGGCCAGGGATTTAGCTCAGTGGTTCCGCCGCCTGCCTCACAAGAGCAAGGACCTGAGTTCGATCCCCAGTACCAAATAAAAAAGTTCATCTATTTGAGTCATACATATTTTTTACATCTTCAAGATGTAATTGAAGTTCTTCTGCTTCTTCTGCTTTTTCTCCATACATCTGTAAAATAGTGTTGTATCTTTGATCCAAATCTCTTAGCTGAATTAGAAGTTTGGGTATCTCCACTTTTTCTTCAAGCTCGTCGTTTTGATTTGTTAATTTAACTAGCGCTTCAGCCATTATTGATGGAGTTTTTTCTAGAGTACCAATTTCCAGCTGTAAATGTGAAATTTCCCCTTCCCTTAGCTTTAGCTGAGACTTCAATAACACTTGATTCTGCTCCCATCCTTACAACATCGTAAAGATTGCTGCCACTCACTGATGCAGACATTGGTCCAAATGAGTGATCATGAGACTGATCCTGAGACAGAAAAGATGTTTGTAGCCCTGCCATATCAACTCCACGTATTGAACTCCAACGTGACAAGGTGGGAGTACTAGAAACAGAAAATGACTTGTGTTCCTTTTCTTTTATTGCTTCTTGAGTGGAAATGGCTTTCTTTCTTTCTTGTTCAACTTTCATTTTTTCCAATTCTAATTGCCTACTCAACAATGTCTTTTCTTTCCTTGTCTCTACAAGTGTTCTTACATATTCATCTTTTAGGTTTTCTAATTCTACCTGGTACCAATTATTTTCTTCCTCCAGTTTTCTGAGCTTATTTTTCTCTGATTCTAGCTGGACCTGCAGTCCATTGTTTTCTTGTCTCAAGAGAGAATTCTGTGATTCCTCAGAAGACATCTGGATTTTGTTGGCAAGGAGTTCTTCTGTAGCTGCATGTTCCCTTCCAACTGCTGCTGCTAACAAGGTCTGGGACTCACTAAGCCTATCAGAAATATTCTTCACCAGCTTCTCCCACAATGAAGTCTGGGACCCTAGGGTTGCTTGCAAATTTTGTATTTGTCTAAGCAATGTCTTGTTGTTGATGAAACGCTTTGACTCAGTTCTTGATTTCAATTCTCTGCTTCCTGGAGTCCCTGCTGAAGTTCACTGATCTCATGTCATAAATAATCCTCTTTTCTGGCAGCTGCTTGTTCTGCATGTTGCTAGTCTAAGGCCTCTACTCAAATTGCCAATGTTTCTTGCTGCTGGCAGGCTTCTTCTTGGGCCTTCTGTAGTGCTGCAGAAAGTTCTTTAGCTTTCATTTCATGAATCAGAGCTGCTTCCTGGGCCTCACTATCCTTTGCAGCATTGGCTTTGTGAAGATCAGTAAGTTCTTTGTATGCACTATCAAGAGTGGCCTGAATATTTTGGTTCTTTTCTTCAAGTTCATCTGTATCTATTTGAAGTCGAAGTCAATTTGAAGTCTATTTGGCATACTACTACAGAATTTAGTTTTTTAATATTTTCTCTATGTTGTTCCTCAACCTCTTCTTTGCCATCAAGAACCTATTTTAAATGGTGTAACTCCTCTTCTATCTCTTTAGATTTTTTTGCTCAGTTTTGCAATAATATTTTCATTGTCTGTCATTAGTTCTCAATTTCTTAATAATGTTAGAGTTATGCAGCTGCTGCTTTGAAAGTTTGTTGCTCTTTTCCATTAATGTTTGAATATGTTCATCTTTCTCTTTCAAAAGATCTGCAGTCTCACTACTATTTAATGGCAATTTCTTCTTTTACAGTTTTGGTTTCTTTTTTAGCAGCATCTCTCTCTTTGCAGGCTAGCTGAACTTTCTTTTCTACTTCTGCAATTCTTTGGGTGAATTCATCTTTCAAGGAAGAAATGCTACTGCTTTCTTCTTTCACTCTGAACATTTCATCTTTTAGGTTATCACAAGCTTCTTCTAAAAGTGCTTTTTCTTTACTAAGAGATAATAATGGAGGCTCCCTTTTTTTCCAGTTTCTCATTAAGAAATTCAACTGTCTTGCAAACAACTTCCTTCTCACAAAATGCTTCTGGCAGACTTTCAGCAGCTTCACACTGCTCTACCACCTTGTCCAAGACAGCATGTCCTTCATTTACAGGTGTAGAAGAAACCAATGTATCTGGCTGCTCACAGTTAACAGGAGTTGCACTTTGCCCACTTCCTTCCATTTCTGCTTCCTCAGAAGGTACACTTAATGTTTCATTTCTTCTTCTGCAGGTTTTCCTTCAATATACTCTTTATGGTTGAAGGATTAACTATAACAGGCACTAAAGCATATCCCTTGCCTGGCAGTTCATCATCTGAATTAATTTTGCTTACCCTCTGGTTATCTAATGACTGTACACTAAATGAGTCTATTCTTTCAAAAGCATCAGATGAGCAACAGCTCTTGTTTAGTTTATGGAAATCATCTAAATGATTATATTCAGGAAAAGCAGATACAGAGAGAAGCTGGAAAGATGTCTGTCTCAGGTTAAGACTTGATCTTGCATCTGTAGTCTCTTGCCTTGAATTCACTGAGCTCTCATTTATAACACTCTCATGATCTAAAACTTCGACATCACTGGTGGTAGAAATATCTGATGAGAAGGTACTAACAGGAGGAGAAGGAATACTGATTTGTCTGTCTTCATGTTTTTGTTCCATAGGTTCCAAAGCCACATTTCTGCCATGAGAGAGTGTGTAGAAATAACAGATACAGTTTCCATAGTTATCTTTACATTAGTTATGCTTTCATATACTTTCAAATGTATAGTTGGCACCTTCCCATCAGGTTCTTTATAAACAGTTTCTTCATGCTGGCCTTCAGTTCTAGGTGATAGAGTAACTACTGCCAGACTTTTCTCTGATATACAAAGAAGAGTCCTTCACTTTTGTATCAGTTGTTTCAGTAGCTTTTGACTGTACAGTGTGTAAAGACTCATGTAAGGTGCTTCTCACTTCTTCTCACTATGATTCAGCTGGAGGCTTTGATATCACTCGACTCTTCTGAATGGTCTGGACATCCATGGGAGAGAGAAGGGCACTGAAGAAATTTTCAGATTCATCTACTATAGTCCTCCAAACCGGCTTTGTAATTGCTTTAGGAGAGGCTGTTGGTGGACCCTGAGGTTCAGTGTTTGATTTCAACCCCAGCTTGAAGTAACCCATTCTCCACTAAGAGGGGAACTTACTCCCTGCTCTCCGTGGGGAATGGTCTCCACTCAGGTGCTCGGTTCCTCCTCCTGGATGTCCAGGACCCTATCAATGGACTTGTGGGCCTGGGGCAGGGCCCACTTGGCAAAGCTGGAGAGCTGGGAAGCGTTGAATAACTCTTCACTCCTCCTTAGGCGGCATCGAGAAGGCTGAGGGCCAGGCAGACCAGCCTCGGGCCCCAGGGAGGGTTCCGAAGAGTGGTCTTGACCCCTCCGCCACTCTGCAGCCCTGTCAGCAGGGAGCCATGGCCCCAAAGTCTTTCCTGAGACTGGAGAGCACCCTCAGTGACTCGCCCACACCAGAGAAGAAGGTACTGGTATCATTTTAAAGGAATTCAAACTATGAAAGCATGAAAAGACCTCAAAGGAGAAACTTCAGGGGGTTATAAGAAGACAGGCACTGACCCTACTAAGAAAGTGGCAGTCAGGGATCCCAGCAGAAAGTCTCTGAAAACACAAGGAAAAACACCATGGGAGAAAGAGTCAACTATGCATACACCCGATGCTCATATTGTGCCTCTTTCTGTGACTGTGTTCTTTTCTCCTATTTGTTCTTATCCTGGGCCCCATTTGGAGGGAGGACAGGTGAAGGGGTCATCATGCCCTTTCCACCACTGCGGGCTTGGGGCAGCCCCAAACATGATAGGGAAAATGTTTTGAGATCAATAAAGTTGGAATTTGGGTTGCTACAATGAACTAAAAACATTTTAATGACTGAAATAAAAAGGACTAGAAAGGTAGATTTGCCTAAGACTTAAATGAATGGGAAGAACAGGGCCACAGACTGAGTTTCATATGAAGTAGTGAAACAGGATAAAGTATGAGTTCCCCTTGGGTTCAGCAACTTCAGTAAATCAATTACAACTGTTAGAAATTTAACTATTTCAGTTTAAATTATGTAAGCAGATCTCTTCCCTCTAGGGGAACAATGAAAGAAAGGGTGACGGTATATGTAACACTGAGTGTCTTGGAGCACATTTAGTCCTGGTCTAAGGTCTCCTGTGAGGATTCAGATGTCTTACCTTATGACATGTGTGCAGATATAGCTCAATCCTCTCCCAAAGCAACAAAACTCCAAGTATCTGTAAAAGCAAAGAAGAAAGATGGAGTTATTTTAAAATTACTAAGTTGTTGTCCAAAGCACTATTCTATAGCTCAAAATGCCTTTTATGGCCAGATACCATATTTACTTCATGCTACACCTGTATTTTAGCCTATGGAAGCTTGCCATGCTGTTCTTCTGCCTGAAAAAAAACTCTCTTCAAACCACTGACCCTTCAAACCAGATTAAAGAACACCTCCTAATCGTACTGTTTATCAGCACTACAAGGATTCACTATTATTTCCTCTGGGGTTTAATAATAATTACCACACTGATGCCCTTCCTAAGTTCCTGCCCATTTCTTTTCCCTATAATGGACTTAATTCTTGGTATTACTTACAGTGGACTCACTTTCATGAGAATAAAGGTCAGGTGCCAGCCCTTCCAGGAGTAACTTCAAAGCTCTTTCCCAGGGAAACAATATTGACGATATAACTGCCATTTACACTGGTATATGCTCAGTAAATCTAAGATCTGAGCTGGGCATGGTGGCGCACACCTGTACTCTCAGCACTCAAGAAGATCACTGAGTTTGAGGCCAGCCTGGGCTACATAGTGAGTTCAAAGCCAGCCCGAACTACAGAGTGTGACCCTGTCTAAAAAAACAAAAAAGAAAAAAGAAATCTAAGATTTAAATCTAAATCTAGCCAGTCATCAAGTCAGAATGAAGATGGAAGTTGAAAAGTGGAGTCCTCTGATGCTTGGGATATTAATGACAGGCTGAATGACATGGCTTACCTTTTTAATAAAATAATTTCATGTACATGTTTTCGTTTGTTCTTTACTCAGCCCTATTAGGTATCATTTTGTTAAACATTTTGATCATTCTCATTTGAGAAAGGAGAAAACTAAGAGAAGAGTTATACAACTTGACCAGGACTGTGATATAATAATGATGAAGCTGGAAAAGAACTGAGATTTCCTTTCTTTTTCACAGCTGTTCTGATTGCATTTATTCAAAAAGAAGTACAGTAGAGTAGAAAGTCTGTTAAAGTGCAACTACTTTATTAGACACTGGAGCTCACACTCACCTTAGAAGCTAACAATAGCATTCTGTGCTGATTGTGTATGAAAATGGTACAATTCAGCCCACAGTTTGGCCTCCAGCACATACTTCTGCATTTTCTTGACTAAAAAGAGAAGTTCCTAATCGGTCTCTCTGCCTTTAGACACTCTCTACACCACAACTTCCAGAATGACTTTCTTAAATAACAGCCTCATTTATGTGAGCGTCTCAGTCTTACTTTCTAGCCCTTCCAAAATTTGTCACAAGACATATTTCCTCATTCTTCTTCATTCTGCTCTACATGCTGAGAGAACTGACCTGTTCCTGTGAACAAGACATTTCATGTTTCTGTGTCATTACTACTTTCTTATGATGTACACCCTCAGTCCAGAAATGGTCTTCCCCATTCATACTACCAAATTCATCATCTCTTCAAGATCCTACTCTTCTAAGAGATCTTATTTAATCCTGTTTCTTCTCAGAACTCCTGCAGAACTTCATTTAGACCTCCCTAATGGTAATTATAATATTCCATTTGTGTTATTTTTGTGTATGACTTAGTTGCCTACTAGATTCTAAACACTCAGTGAATGAATAGTTGTAACTTTTTGTCTCATATGTATCTCTATGGAGTACCCTGCATGAAAACAGAAACTACATGTTTTACTGACTTCTATACACTTAGTACTTGTCACAATGTACTTATATAATAATACATTTTGTTTAAAGAAAAAATGAATGCAAATGGAAATAGATAATAGGGTTTAGTTGTTTTGTGTCAGATAGGAAATCAGTTGGGACACAGAATGGTGAAATCAGAAAAAAATCTTCTTGGGGTCAAGGATTTAACCCAGCGGCACCACACCTGCCTTGCAAGCTCAAGGTCCTGAGTTTGATCCCCAGTACCAACAAGAAAAAAAAAAAAGAAAGAAAAGAAAAAATGTTCTCTGTGTATAAATGGGCACAGAAAAACTATTAAATTATTAAAGTTATCTTCCCATTAAGTTCCCCATTTCCACAGACTTTTCTCTTGCATGGTATAAATTCTCATGCTACCCTACATACCATCCCAGGCAATAGAAGCAGGGTCACATTATTGCCAAAAGACTTTTGCTAAGATGTACCTTGCACCTGGGCTAGTTGACCAACTTGTGTACAGTAGAATAGTTTTTATTTTCAAGGCCCAGAAAGACTGCTGATATGAAGCCATGAGTATCTAAAATGACAACACTGAGTGAACCCCTGGACAGACTATGAAACAGAAGAATAGAGAAAAGATGTCCTACCACCCTTTCAAAAAGGCAAATCAGTCAGATATATCCTGTAAGAGCATTAGCCTTTTCCCCTGCTGCCCATACCTTGTGCATAAAAGGCAAGAAGTTGACATAAACCCCAACTCTATTAAGACTACAGTGATCACAGATGGCTCCCAAAGCCATTTAGATACTATTCCACAGGTAGGAGTACCTCACAGGGCTATTCAGGAAAGAGAAATAGGAAGCATTACTCACCAATAACAACGAAGTGTAGACAGTCAGTATCCCAAATAAACTCAGCATTAGAATGGACCAGAAGAACCAGGCTCCTGTTACTAGAAAAACGACCCTGAAAAAAAGTGTTTCAATCCTTAAAATACAGCAGAAATCAGAGTAACATCTGCATCAAATATGGGGAGGAGACCAGACTAGAAGAGGGATAAGAAAATGGAAGGACATAAGAAAAGCACTTTGTGAAGACATCTATGAAAGCTTTGGAGATAATTTCTTGAATTTCAACTTTGTCCTATAGGCAGTGTGTCCATCAGTGTGCTGTCTATAAGTGGTAGGATTTTTTAAAAGTTATTAAGAACATGTCTTCAAAAAATATGTCCTCTTTAAAATATAATAAAGAAATTCTTTAATAGCAAAAGAGAAAAGAGTCATCCCATAAATTTGCTGCCTTATCAAAACTAATAATTTCTATTTTGTCAGTTTCCTTATCCATGTGCACATATATTTTCTTACATAATTGCAATAATAACTACATATTAATTGCTCTGTTCTGTGTAAGAGAACAGGGTCCTTTAAAAACACTCCTGATTATTTTGTTCCTGAAGTACTGCAGGAAAGAAAATTGCTAACAATTTATTAAGAGTAACAATGTTATTTTTGGTGTAGGTGTTATATGTCAAAGAACTTTTCTTTTCGAGGTAACAGAAATTATTTCCTGTCCATATAAGAGAAATGCAAATTAAAACAACACTGGCATATCATCCTACTTCAGAAAGAATGGCTGTCATTCAGAAATCAAATAATAACAAATGCTGGTGTGACTGGAGCGGGGCCAGGGACAAGGAAGGGAGTTTTCTACATTGTTGGTAGGAGTATAAACTGGTAAAACCACTATGCAAATCAATGGGGAGATTCTTCAGAAAACTAAATATTCCATTCAACCCAGCTATTCTCTCTCTACGTATCTTCCCCAAAGAGTTAAAGATATCATATTATAGGGCCAGGGATTTAGCTCAGTGGTTTCGCTGCCTGCTGCATAAGTGCAAGGACCTGAGTTCGATCCCTGGTACCAAAAAAAATAAGATATCATATTATAGTAATACATGCATATTGTGTTTATAGCAGCACAATTCATAATAGCTAAATCTTGGAAGTGGTCTATATGTCCATCAGTGGATAAAGAAAGTATATTTATACACAATGGAGTACTTTTCTGCCATAAAGAAGGATAAACTTGAGTCACTGTAGGAAAATGCATGTACCTTTGTAACGGCAGACTTACAGTCCACAGTGTGGCAGCTCTTAGAGGTATAGCAAGATCAGGCCGCCTTTTTCCTTTCACCCTTGTCTCTGATCTTCAATAAATGTAGCTACTTACTACCTACCATCAGGTGTACACTTGACAATTCTTTCCTTGTCATACCAAGAACTGGACTATTTTGTGCCCACTCAACTAGTCAAGCTAGGAGGACTTTACCTTGGAAATCCTCACTGGACAATGAGCCAAGGGACTTTGTTGCACAGCAGCCCAGAAACCTCGCTAGACATCAAAGGCATCAGGAACCCAGAGAATTTTGGAGACCTCAGCAGAAGTGAGCAAGCAGACAACTCAGTCAGCAAAGAAGTTACAGATGTTCAGCAGTGCAAGGGAAAAATGAGTAGATTCTCTGAGGATCCGGAAGTTTGCTGATGGTTTCCATACCCTAAGAGTGGCTTTGGATGTGACCTGGTGAGATGTCCAATTCATCCTCATTTTTTGTTCCACAGCAGCAGAAATGAAATGGATTATAAAGGAGGCTGCAAAGCAGGCCAATGATGAAGTCTTTGCAGCTTCACTCTCTGAGGATCAGCCAACTGTGGCATTATTTGGTCCTCAGGAAGGGCCTGAGTGGAATTAAAACACAGAGGGTGGAGAAACTAAACAAAAGTTATATTTTAGTTGGTATGCAACAAGGGATGCCCCAAACCTGTGAACTATGATAAACTCAGGTCTATCTGGCAGGGCTCCAGTGAGAACTCAGTTGCTTTTCAGCTTTGACATGAAGAGGGGATCATGGGAGATTCTGGTCAGAGCTCAGAAGGACAGAAGACTGACAGAAATCTGGCCAGTAAAGACCAGGCTTGGGAGCTTTCTACTAGGAAGAAAGACTGAATTGGCTGTTAGACTCCAGACAATGTGTTGTGCCTTGGCAGAAAGTCTGTCTGCATTTTGCTCATGTCCAGAGACTGCCTGAGACTGAGATTAAGATTGATGGACTAATTAATGTGGCAGAAGAAATTTCAAGACAATATAATGTTAAGGCAATAGCTACTGTTGGGGGCTTTTAGCCAGATTTATGTTGAGACTCAAGAGCAAAGAGCCCACCAAAATGATTTAAAACAGTTTGAGTTTGGCCATAAAGGAAGCTCAGAACTGTGTAGAACTGTGTAGAACCAGCCTACAAGCTCGATCCTGACAAAGAGTGTCGAGGATGAAAGATAAAGAGACACAGAATCAGGTTAAAATCTGGAGGGCCAGGGGGCTCTTGTCTCCCGTTGACATAGAACCCTACATGACTGGCACAATTTGGCTTTATTCACTTAGTCACAGGTACAAGCAATTAGAGTTATACAGGATTCATCTGTCTCCCTCCCTCTGTGGTACTTGTCTGGGTAAACCACAGGACTTTTACTTTTCCTTGCAGCATGTCAGCACACTTGCATGCCCTCTTTGTTAGTGCTCACAGAGGAGGCCAATTAGGCCTCAATCTTTCCATCTGGTCCCCTACAGAGCTGTAGCCTGGAAAGATGGAGCAGAGGAGATCTTAATTACTGAGAAAGAACAGGAAAATAAAAAGATGGCCTGAGGTCATTACAAAAAAACAGCAAGACTCCACCCATTGCAGCCTCCAAAATACAAAAGTGAAGGGCCAGGGATTTAGCTCAGTGGTTTGGACACCTGCCTCACAAGCACAAGGTCCTGAGTTCGATCCCCGGTACAAAAAAAGAAAAAGAAGAAGGAAAAGTGAAAGTGAAAGGCTTTGCTTTAAGAAGAGAGCTCCAGAGCACCATGTTCCAGAATGGCAGCTTCCTAGGGAAGTTGTTCCTTGGGATCTAATTCATAGGCACTGTACTCCTACAGCTGAAAGAGAAAGAAGCCTGGCTACTGCTCCAGCTGGTGGCAGATCTTGTCATCATCTACATGGTGTTGGTTTTAGGTTCATGCAGAATGCAAGAGATGTGGGGTCAGGAAGGCTTCCACCCAGATTTCAGAAGAAGGCCTGGGAGGCCAGGCAGTATGCCCCTGAGAGGGCAATGCGTAAAGCTGTGAGTGTGAAACCAAAGGTGCAGAAGTTTGGAAAAGCCAGGAGGGTAGATCATCTGAAGAAAACTGCAAGGAGGGAACAGAGGTAGCTCCAGAGAAAAGCCATGGGAGGCAAAGTCACTCCCGTGCCTTAGGAGCAGAGCCACACAAGCCCTTTGGAGTTCACAGCTTTCCACAGATTGCAGGATGCTAGAAGTGAAATTATGGGATTTAATATTTGCCCTCCTAGATTTTGGACTTGCTTTGGTCCCATTCCTTTGTATCCCCCTATTTATAACTTTTAGAATGGAAATGCCCATCTTGTGCCATTGAATGCTAGAAAGGTTTAACTTTCTTTTCATTTGTACAGGGGCTTGCAGCTAAAAATTTGTCTTAAATCTCAAAAGAGACTTTGGACTTGGTCTTTTGAGCAATACTGAAACTTTTAGGACTTTGGAAACTCTTAGAGATAGACTAAATGCTTTTTTGCCCAACAAGATATGCATGAGTCTCTAGGGTGCTGGAGCAGAATGTTATGGCTTGTGTTTAGATGTTCCCTCAAAGCCTCCTTCCTAGGTGGGGCTTTTTCTGGGGTGGCCGGATCTAGAGTGTGTGGCATTGGGATTGATTCATGGAGCAATGCTAGGCTCAAGGTCACTAGGATTAAGGGTGTGAGTGCTACCACTCTAAGTGGCCTAGTTAAGATAAAAGGGGCACAAAGACACTGTTAAGGTCTCTTGTTGCTTTTGCTACCATCTGGCCACCATGAACTTTTTCTCCTCTGCAAGGTCTGTCTGCCAAGCCACTCTGCCATACAGCCAGCTGATTATGACTAAATAAACCTTTCCTCCTTTTAACTTTGGGTGTCAGTTATTTTGTCTCAGCAATGAGAGAAAAGTAACTAAGACATGTACTTTAAAGAAAAACTGCAAAACACAAGCCCAGTTTATTTACTTTCTTTCTTCTAAAACAGCAAACCTGGGCAAATTCTTTTCAGCTACAAATGGCTCTGCTCATTCCCTCTTACTTGCAAATGGTTCACTTTCACCCATGAGTGGACCATCCTTGTGGGATTTTTCACAGGAATAGACCATTATCTCACTAGGGTTGGGCTATCCTCTCCCACCCACTAAGGCTGTAGTTTATCTAATTCCACAGATTTCCACCTTCTGAAACACATAAAGGATTCTTAGTTCCCAACTGTATTGTTTCTCATTTCCTTGTGCACCTGCACTCCACTCTTGACTCTACCTCTAATAAACCTTTCTCATCCATATTTTACTGATGTGTCCTGAAAATTCTTTTTCCATGACAGGAGTAGGCAAACCTCCGTATGTATTTTAAAGGAGTTGGTTAAGTTCTTTATTTCAGCCTCAGGGATCTTCAGAAGGCAGCCCAACCATCAGGAAAGTGTTGCCTAATACAACATCTCACAACACTATTAACCACTTCTTTCGTCATTAAGATACAGGAAACAGTTGGATTCACCTCTCCAGGGTAAAATTGAAACTGCCTGAAACACCAGAAGATGAAGAAGGACTATGAACTTCATACACCTGAGAACCAATAGACAACCTCAAGTTTGGGGGTTTTTTGTTTTATTTCAGAAAACACCAACCACTCTGATGAACCAGATGGATAAAAAAGTTTCCTCCTTCTAAGTAGATTGTGTGAATAGTCTCACTATTGTCTTGTTTACCACACTACTAAAATAATAGTTGTGCTTGAGTCATAAAAACGCCATAACCAAATACATCTGAGTTCACTCTGGTTTATAAACAATTAATTGTCTTGTGTGTGTTTGTCCATTCATTTGTCCAATTTGTGCTAAT